AGACTAGTTTGTGGAATCTAAGGAGTATCTTTCTTTCCTGTTCCTTTCCTAAAGTAATTTTTGCACATAGCACTTAAGCATAGTATGATTTATTTTGGGCTTATATTAGAAATCATACCACTATAAATACAGACATGATTCTATGTAACACAACACATCTTAATACACGGGATCTACAGAAGACTAGTAGCACAATAGTATGTACTTCAAATACTTTGCTAATTGGCATAAAACTTTCAGATGTTATTTAGTAATATAGCTACAAAATAGTTGGATTTAACAGATTCTGCCTTTCATGTTTTCAAGTATAGTTTTTGAAATAGGTCAGCATGCATTATTGACAGCCATATGTATGATTACATTTCTATAAATAACCTTTTTAATCAGTGACCAAACTATTAGTATTTCATACAAAGTATGAGAATACTTTGTAGATAAGCCTTTAATTATGCATGAGAATTTTATATAAATAGTCTGTTGTAGCCTCTTTGGTATTAACAATTAACTTTGAGGAACTAAATGCAACCATCCATGTACTCTGATATCTAGGATAATGTTGCCTGTACAGAAAGACTTCTGTATAAAATAAATTTTCTGATGAAATCTAGTTGAAAAAAAAAATAACATCCTTGTTTGATGGATGTTAAATTGGGTAGACATACAACCGACTATTTTCATATGTACAACACAGATACCCACACATCTCAATTATACAAGATTGTTGTGTTTCCTCTAAGTCAAAACTTCCTAGTGGGTATTCTAGTACATGATAATATACACTCTCTACGAAAATCAGTGCTTAAAATAAGCACTCTTTAAAAATAAAGATCCATTTGAACCCACCATAGCCAACAATTAAAATGCCTACCTGTTCTCTTGTTAGGATTTTTTCTTTGTTTTCCAACTCAGATTCTGAAGTCAGGTTTTGAAAAAACAGGAGGGTCTTTCAGAAGAGGAATAATTTTTATAGATTTTTTTTTAAATAATACAGTAAGCTTCTGAGTGGTATATCCAGTTAAAATGTACATCAGCTTTCGAAATTATGAAAACCAAGGCATTATGAACAAAACAAGCTGCCACATTTTTCTTCTATGGTTAACAAATTACGCAATAATTTATTTAATATGTAAATATGCTATCTGTCTGTCCGCATGTAGCCCTTGAACCCCTTTCCTCAGATAGATTATTATTATTTTTTTGTGTGTGGTAGTTTCAGAGCCAATCCTGACTGTAGTTGCTGAAATGAATGGCATGATTTCCTCCATTTTGATATAATAAATGCTCAGTATAAAAAAAAGGATTTAAGAATTTTTTAAAAAAGAAAATCCTGAAACTCTTTAAGAACTTCACTTTAAAAAGTCATGCCCAACCCACTTTGTATTGTCTGTACTCCTGTTTTTATACCTTGATGCTGAAACATATGTGTAGCCATCAAAAAGTTTCCCATCCCTGCCCTGGTTGATTGTAAACTAATTGACTACTGTGGGCAATAAATTATTACTGGTGCTTGGATAAACTGCTCTTTAAACTGCTCTCAAATCAGGGTCATAATTGTCATTTGAAAATGAAAATTATGAGGAACAAAATGAGGACCATAATTTTCATTCGGAAAATTATGATCCCCCCTTTGTTCCTCAATACCTCATTAACCACGTGCATTTCTCAGTGAAAAATGCATTTGAAATACTCTTGCAATAACTAGCGCTGTGATTCACATCTAAAACTGTATTAGTGACACAATCTTTTAATAATAATAATTTAATAATTCATTGAACGTATGCTTCCCAACTGCCAGTAATTCTGAGTGGTATTTTTTGGGGGGGGGGATATCTTTGCTTTTTAAAAGTGTTTCAGTAAAAGACTATCACACAGCTAATAAAACTCCAGATTTTTATAACGGTTTCCAGAACATTTATTTATTTATTATTGAATTACATTTGTATAGCCCCCTCACCTGATATAGTTACGAGTAGTCCTCGACTTACAACAGTTCATTTAGTGACCGTTCGAAGTTAAAACGGCAATGAAAAAAGCGATATGACCATTTTTCACTCTTACGACCGTTGCAGCATCCCCATGGCCAGGGGTAGGCAACCTTGGCTCTTTTATGACTCGTGGACTTCAACTCCCAGAATTCCTGAGCCAGCATGGCTCAGCTTGGAAACCTCTCCCTTTCCCCTCAGCATGGCTGGCTCAGGAATTCTGGGAGTTGAAGTCCACGAGTCATAAAAGAGCCAAGGTTGCCTACCCCTGTTCTAGGCCATGTAATCAAAATTCATACACTTGGCAACCAATTCACATTTATGACAGTTGCAGAGTCTCGGGGGTCATGTGATCATCTGACAAGCAAAGTCATAGGGGAAGCCAGATTCACTTAACAGCCACGTTACCAGCTTAACAACCGCAATGATTCACTTAACAATTGTGGCAAAGAAAGGTTGTAAAATAGGGCAAAACTCGTTTACACCAGTCTTGCTTAGCAACAGAAATTTTGGGCTCAATTGTGGTCGTAAATCAAGGACTATCTGTATTCTGGTCTGCATTAATAAGAATAAGAATAAGAATAATAGAAACCCATTAAAAGTATTTAAATTATTTTTTTTTAAGATAGAAACAAATAAAACAACAAAATGGTGGTAAAACATACACAGAGTACTTTCTATTAACTCATAGCACGCTCTGCTCTATTATGATATCCCCAGGCTTGATCAACCCATGTTTTATTAGCCTTCTGAAAGCAACTTGGGGACAGCCTCACCTTGTAGAGAATGGTGTTTCACAGGTCAGGGGCTATGGCAGAAAAAGCTTTCTTCCTAGGTCCTATCTGATACACTCCCTGCCTGAAGGGACCCACAATATGCTGCTTCTGCTGGATCTGATATGATGGATAGATGTTCCTAGGCAGATGCCTCCATCAAATAACCTGGCCTCGTACCATGTAGGCTTTAGAGGTTATAACCAGCACATTGAATTGGACCCAAAGCAAAGTGGAAACCAGTTCAGCTCTGGATCAGAGGCATAGCATGTGGCATCTGCCAGTGTCTCAAAAATGCTTTTTCCAAAAGGCAACTGGGCTTTTTTCATTTACCCCTCCCCTTTTTTTTGGAAAATGTTTCGTTTCTCATCCAAGAAGCTTCTTCAATTCTAACTGAAACTGCTTCTAACTTCTAATTTTAAGAAACTTCATGGGTGAGAAGCGAAATGTTTTCAAAGAAAAAAAAAATGAAAGTCCACTTGCCTTTTGGGACAGCCATGACCTGGATGATTGAGAATTTCCATAAACAATCCTCTGCATTTTGTACTAGCTGAAGTTCCTGGATGCTCTTGAAGGGCAGCCCCATATAGAGCACAATACAGTAGTCCATTTGGGAAATGGGCACATCTGGTGACAATGCTACGCTGCAAAACGGCCCTCCTAGCCATGACGAACCTGCAGGAGTTGTGAGTCCAGAAGGACCCCCAGATTGCACTTTGCTTAGGGCAATGCAACCTCACTGGGAGACCAAATCTCCAAATCCAGAAGACCCTACAACCTAAAGCCCCTCAGTCTAGCCAGGATCACCTGAAGCCTCTTGTTCAGGCCCCTTCTGCCTTCAGGCACTGTGAGAGGATATCAACATTGTGTATGTGTAATTGGCCTTGACAAAAAAAAACCATCAAAGGTGAAGGAAAATATTCTGACAACATAGCATGGATCTGAAAGTGACAAACATTGTTATCTTTTGCAGCTTCAGCAGATGGTGCTGCACGATGATGCTTTTGGAGGTGCACTGAGGTGAAGCAGGATTTAAAAGAAATTCAGGTAATTGGAATTATTTCTACTTCACAGAATCACTGTCCCTGCTGCATTGCGCCAATGTCCGATCTAGACATTTGTCAACATGTCAGGCATTTTGTACCCTCCTTACTTTTCATCAAACTATTGAATTTAAATATGAATCCCCAACATTCTTTATAATGCTTTGCTTCCGTAAAGCTGGATAACAATACCACTATAACTCGTGTTGTAGAAATAAAGTTATAGTGTCTCTTTGGCTAGCCACAGGATCCCCTTCTTGCCCCAACCCAAGTCTCTTCATATAGGATTGGTGCCATTGGAAGATTTTGAATAAATCTATACATATTGTATACAGGGGTCACTTTCAGAGAGTTTGCTGTTGAAGGAGGATGGGCTAACCCAGGGGTAGGCAACCTTGGCTCTTTTATGACTCGTGGACTTCAACTCCCAGAATTCCTGAGCCAGCATGGCTCAGCTTGGAAGCCTCTCCCTTTTCCCTCAGCATGGCTGGCTCAGGAATTCTGGGAGTTGAAGTCCACGAGTCATAAAAGAGCCAAGGTTGCCTACCCCTGGGCTAACCTGTCCCTACATACTGTCATTTCCAACAAAAATCCTGCCAGCCCAGTGATTTGGTATAATGAAAGCTTACCTTGTTAACAAAGGAGGCTATTTTAAAACAAATTAGTTCCCATTTGGCTATGGTTTATATTTGATGAGTAATGGGTTAACCATCCCCTCCCAGTGTAATACGAAATCAAAGTATCTTTCATTCACAAATGTATGTCATGCTTTTGCCGATGGGAGTTTTTCTGCATTTAAAACATAAGCATTCTGCTGGAAGTGAGGAAAGCTCCCCCGGATTGGCTGAAGCTGAAAAAGATCTTCTTGTAGATTATTCAATATATTTATGGCTAATAAGTGATTAGAACAGGGAATGTCCTGATTTACAGCTCAAGCTCCTGGCTTCTAAGCTATCTCCCTTTCAGTACAATTAGTAAATATTCTTATTAGCTAACAGATTAATGATAGCTAATGGGGGAGGGGATGCTAGTGGTGTATTTATACACAGCTGCTAATATATCACTTCCGCAGTTCTATGCTGTGCAGCTATGACACGTCTGATGTTTCAAGTTATATAGTTTTGTGGGACATGAAAACTGAACATTTTTTTAAAAATATCACTGCAGTGGCTTCTCTTGAACCCACCATCAACATCTGCAAAATGGAGGTTGTGTCAGCAGAAGTGAACAGCTTGCTCCCCGAGGAGATCATGGACACAGGTATAACACTGGAGGAAGATGAGAGCATCCAAGCTGTAATTGTGGGTGACCCTATTCCTATGGAAACAGAACTGGAGGGAATAGCAAACGTAAGCTCTGCTGATGATCCTACTGCTACTAGTACGTCATCAATCACTACGGAATCTGTCGCATTGCCCAGCAATTGTGTTAGCCACGTTACCGGCAATTCTGCCTTCGTAAAATCTGACGCCAGTGTGACCGCCCAACCTTCTTTTCAAAGCGGCCTCCAAAAACTAGGCACCCAGACTCCAGTCTCTCTATCAGCCAATCAAATCATTCTTAACAAAGCCACGGACTTGAAAATTAGTAAACAGGCCATAAAGCAGGAAGGTCAAAAACTCATAGTAACAACTCTGGGCAAGCCCGGACAGCCGATTGTCTTGGCGCTACCCCACAGCCAGCTGTCACAGTCTCAGAAGACCACATCGCAAGTACAAGCAAGTGACTCCAAAGTTCCAACACAGCAATTCAAGGTGGTCACAATTGGAGGAAGGTCGGAGGTGAAACCCATCATTGGTGTGTCGACCTTGACTCCAGGGTGCCAGCTGGTAAACGCCACAAACCAGTCATCCGTACTGCAGACCCAGCAGCTAAAAGCGGTGCAGGTAAGAAAAGATTTCTGACAGTTATTCCCTTTGCAATAAAATGAATGTACGATTGAGAATTCCCTTTGGTGGCAGCCAGTAGGTGTGGAGGACAGCTGGCCAGGTAAAAGAATCCCAATAAATCTATAAAAAGCACGTTTTAGAGCAGTGGTGGCGAACCTATGGCACGGGTGCCAGAGGCGGCACTCAGAGCCCTCTCTGTGGGCACGCGCGCCGTCGCCCCAGTCCTAGGCCTTCAGCTGGGTTTTATAAAACCTTTTCGCTTTAGGCCTCTGCCGCCGTGCGCAAAAAAAAAAAAAAGGTTCAATCAATCAGTCAATTTCAACTTCTCGTGGGGAAAAAAAGATCTTACAAAGTTGGAATTGATTGATTGAACTTTTTAGTCCCACCCAGTCTGCGATTACCACCGTAGCCACGCCCAGCCAATGGGCCACACCCACCCAATGGCCACACTCACCCGGCACCCGACGATGCATAAGTGGGTTTTGGGTTGCAGTTTGGGCACTCAGTCTCTAAAAGGTTCACCATCACTGTTTTAGAGCAAGGATGTTAAAAGGCAGTAGAGATGATGAGTAATCTATATAAATAAAAATGTAAATGTTCGTTTGTTCAAAATCTTAAATCTCCGAAAGTTCTTCACCGATTGCTTTGAAATTTTGACACAACGTTGCATTCGAATACGCGCGTGTTTTTATATACCTATATTATATATTTGTCACACCTGTGACAGGTAAAAACATGCTTTTTAAAAAAAACACAGCGCCATCTGTTGGACGTAAAAGCTTTCTCTTTTCTTTTTTTTCCATTTAACCAGACTGAGCCACAGCAACGCGTGGCCGGGAACAGCTAGTTTTAAATAATAAACTATCTGTCCACTGAGATGGGGTTGTAGCAGCACATATCAGAAAGTGCTTCCCCCCAAATTACCAAACTTTAGAAAATTTACTTTTCCCCCGGGACTTGATTTTGGTGAGGCGGTGAGCCTCTTTCGGGATTTATCTGTTACTTTGAATATTTCCCTCTGGGACCTGTCCTATTCTTTTCTTATCATTTTGGCTTCTATAGTTTTTAATGTGGCATGCGATTCAGAGTCTTAGTGTGTTGATCAGTTCCCCAAATTGATTGATCAGATGATTACTAAAAGTGGAAATCGGCAGTTTGAAGACCAGCCTTAAGACTGATCTTGTTCAGGTGCAGTGAAGAATGAAAGTACACACTGTGAAAAAAAAATGTGGAAAGGAATGGCAACTATGGTGTGCAAGCATATAAACATATGCAAAAATTTAAACCTCAGTTTAGCAGCGATTCGTGAGGGTAACTATAAACTCAAGAACTGTAAACCTTCATGTCCATGTCTGAAAAAATATTCCTTTGGTTTTGGCTTATTATGAAAAAGCAAAAAAAAAAAAAAAAAGTGGGTTAGTCTATATTTACAATTATCTTTTTTTAAAAAAACTTTTTCATAACAGGCCCAAACCAAAGGAATATTCTTCAGGCATAATAGGCATGAAGACTTATAGGTCTTGAGCTTATAGTTACGCCCATGAATAACTGCTAAACTGAGGTTTACATTTTTGCGTTACGTGTATGTGCTTGTACATACAGTTTTCATTCCTTTTCACATTTTCTTCACCCAATGTGTAATTTCAGCTTTTTTTTTTGCTTTAAATCTAGTTTGGGAAGATTCTTATTCATAATAAAAGTATATAAATGTAATAATCAAACCAATGTATGAATCTATTAACTGAGTCATTTTTTTTATTTGCCTCCCATCCCTCTATTACACTCCTAATCCACCCCATCCCACCCCCATCTGCATGTTCAGGTAGTCCTCGACTTAAAACAGTTCATTTAATGGCCACTGAAAGTTAGAACGGCACTGAAAAAAGTGACTTACGACCATTTTTCACACTTACGACCTTTGCGGCATCCCCATGATTGCGTGATCAAAATTCAGACGCTTGGCAACTGGTTCGTACTTACGACCGTCACTGTGTCCCAAGGTCATGTGATCCCCTTTTGCAATCTTTTGACAAGCAAAGTCAATGGGGAATCATGCTGTCAACTTATCGACTGCAGCAATTCACATAACAACTGTGGCAAAAAGGTCACAAAATGGGGCAAAATTCACTTCACAGCAGAAATGCTGGGCTCAACTGTGGTCGTAAATCGAGGACCATCTGTGCTTGTCCTACCCATGTAGCTTTCATGCGATAGGTTTGAACTGTTGTTTTACTTTGGGGGGGTGGGGGTTTGGGGTGGGGGTTTCAGTGGAGTTGGGTCAGGGGTGGTTCCCCCTTGCTTCTAAGTAGTTTGGGCTCACTTCTTAAGAAATGATGGGTCACTGGATTTCTCCTTGTTTTCCAGATTGCTAAGAAAGCCAGGACACCAACTTCAGCCCCATTGATAACGAAACTCATCATCACCAAACCAATCAATAGCAAGGCAGTTATGGGGCAGACAACTCAAGTATCACCAGTCATTGCAGGTTTATATCTGAATATATTTATTAATGGTTTGTTTATGTTGTGGCATTTGCCCAGTGAGTTACAGGTAAATGCAGTATAAAGTGACATTTGATGGATTTTGATTTCGTGGTGGATTCTCTGTCCTTTTTCACTCCTGGTTTCTTGAAATTTGTCGAAACAATTTTACCTACAGGCATTGGGAGAGCAGAGCATTAGGTTATGGGAAGCCCCGGAATGGCTTTCCTCAGTCTAGGTTCTTTCCAGATATTTAAGCTTCAACGCTGCAGAATATACCTGATGGGGGAAGTCTGGGAGTTGGTCCCTGCCTTTGGAGGGCACTGAGATTGGGGAAAACTACACTAGAAGAGATGCTGTTCAGGCATATAATGATAATGATAATAGTAGTAATAATAGTAAAAATAAAAGTTGGAAGGGACCTTGGAGGGCATCTAGTCCAACCCCCTGCTCAGGCAGGAAACCCTATACCATTTCAGACAAATGGCTGTCCAGTCTCTTCATAAAAACTTCCAGTGTTGGAGCATTCACCGCTTCTGGAGGCAGGTTGTTCCACTGGTTAATTGTTCTAACTGTCAGGAAGTTTCTCCTTAGTTCTAGGTTGCTTCTCTCCTTGATTAGTTTCCACCCGTTGCTTCTTGTCCTGCCTTCAGGCGCTTTGGAGAATAGGTTGACCCCCCTCTTGTTTCTGGCAGCCCCTGAGATATTGGAACACGGCTATCCTGTCCCCCCTCGTCCTTCTCTTCATTAAACTAGACATACCCAATTCCAGCAGCTTTTCCTCATATGCTTTGGCCTCCAGTCCCCTAATCATCTTTGTTGCTCTTCTCTGTACTCTTTCTAGAGTCTCAACATCTTTTTTACATCGTGGTGACCAAAACTGGATGCAGTATTCCAAGTGTGGCCTTAACCAAGGCATATATTCGGATGCTGGCTGGGAATTCGTGGAGTTGTCGTCCAAACACCTGGATGGTGTTACTTTGAGGAAAGTTGCTCTAGACTGCAGTGTTTCTCAACCTTGGGGTGAACTTCAACTCCCAGAATTCCCCAGCCAGCTAAGATGAGTTGAAGTCCATTCCTCTTAAAAGTCCCCAAGGTTGAGAAACCTTGCTCTAGAGCAGAGGTCCCCAACCTTTTGGGCACCAGGGACCGGTTCCTTGGAGAGAGGTTTTTTTCCTTGTACCAGAGGGTGCGTGATTTTGTATGCTGACTGCATCTCGCAGATGCTTGTCTGTGCGGACCGGTTGCTGGCATGCCACGGACCAGTACTGGCCCACAGACTGGGGTTTGGGGACCCCTGCTCTAGAGCATTACTCAGTGTAAAAGGGAGTCAGATTTGTAATGTCTTGATTTATTTTATGATTTAAAGAAAAAAAAATTCTAAGCACAGGTGCTTTGAATGCCAGCTATAAAAAGATTTGTTCTCCAGCCAAGTAGAAAGTATATAAAAGTTTAGCATCTTATCTTTAAAAGTTCAGATCTTGGACTGTTTATGTGGGAATCCGGGCAATCATCTTACCAAGTTCTAAATATAGAAAGCTTGCTAGTTTTATGAATATGTGATAAAGTGCAGGAATGCATTCTTGGTTGGCTTTGAATTATGCTGTCATTCCATCTGGAATTATTGACAAGTTTTGCAGCTAAGAAATCAGTATATATTGATTGTACATGTTATTTGAAGCATTACTGCCACATTTCAGCATACTTATTTTTGCATTAGAGCAAAAGATCAATCTTTTCTTAGGAAATTTTCAGTGCAACAATGTGTGGAATTATTTACTTTTTTCTTTTGTCCAAGGGAAAAAATAGTCATACAATCACTCTTAACAATCAAGGTTAATTGTTTCTCTTTCTTACTACTGAGGAAATATAGGGCAAACATTTGCAGATTCAATTACAAAATGTACATAGGAGAGGTGGGCTGCAGAAGAAAGGGAGTTAAATTCTGATATAAATTTATCTTGAATATTTTATTTATTAAATTTTGTATTTGTATACCACCCTCTCACCGTTTGGGGTGACTGGGCAACATTTGATCAGATTAATACAAATCTGATTTGTCTTTTAGGACGTTTAACAAATTCTTAAGATCATAATCAAAATTGCATCAGCATTTGGGATTATACTAAGATGCATTACTATAAAAATTGTACTTGTTCAAAAGAGAATAGTGGGGTTGTGTTTTTTTTAGCAATGTGGGTGATTCTCTACTTAGGCGAAAAAGTGTTTTCTTTTTAACTGCTGTTTGGGATGTCTGCTTACTTGGTGGCTTTTTAGGTAAAGACCCATTTTGTTTTTGATTGCCAAAGTATTGTTTTTTTTAAAAATAAATAAAGCAAGTAGGTAGGCTATTCAAGAAAGAGAGATAATTCAGTGAAGTATATAATATATTTTATAGTGCCACAAAATGATGATTGCAGGCAGTTTAAATTTAAATTGTATGTTTATTTTTAAAGTTAAGCGGTCTGCCTTAAAAACCAATTCCTGTAGTGCATGGAAAGGGTTTAATGCCTTTACCAGAAAATCTTGCGCTTTATCAGCTGGGAAGATGAATAAGATTATAACTCTCTCTGTTTTTCTACAGGTAGAGTTCTTACACAGACTGCTCCAGGGACACCCCCCAAAACTGTAACTATTTCAGAAAGCGGCGTTATTGGGACAACTTTAAGTTCCACAATACAGGAGGCCTCAAATAAGATTGCAATCTCTCCTTTGAAATCACCAAACAAGGTAAACTTATATTTCAATTGCTTTTATATTGCAGTGAATTGGTATTTTCCACTTAAACTAAGCTAGTGTGATTTTGAAATGGACTTTCTAAAGGGCTCTGACTGTTTTCAGCTATTTTAGAATCATCTGCTCTCCGGCATCGTTCTGCCATGGGAATATGTGCTAAAGGGAAGTTCACAACTCCTCCGAATAAAATTGAATATGGCAGAAAAGAGTATTTGTGTCGGTGAAGGAATGTAGATGCAGGTAGTCCTTGACCTAAAATAATTCATTTAGTGGCCATTCAAAGTTACAACGGCACTGAAAAAAAGTGACTCATGACTGTTTTTCTCACTTACGGCCGTTGCAGCATCCCCGGGGTCACGTGATCAAAATGCAGATGCTTGACCACATACTCAGATTTGTGACGGTTGCAGTGTCTCAGGATCGTGTGATCCCCTTTTGCGACCTTCTGACAAGCAAAGTCAATGGGGAAGACCCAGATTCACTTCACAACCACATTACTAACTTAACAAGTGCAGTGACTCACTTAACAAGAAAGACTGTAAAATGGGGCAAAGCTCATTGAGCAACCGTCTCGCTTAACGCCAGAAATTTTGGGCTCAGTTGTGGTCGTTAAGTCGAGGACTACCTGTACATTAATACAGCAGTGCAAACTCTGGATTTAACGGACTTGTAGTTGCCACTGCCCCTCCCTCCTTTCTTCTCTTCCCCTCTCCCTCCCCCCCTCCATAGTTGATTATAGGTTTACTTTTTTTCTCAAAATAGAGTAAAACAGCCCCACCGCATTTTGCTCATTTTGCCTCCCAATCCTACCCATATTGTGGAAAGTCTTGACCTCTTAACGCATTTGCAGTGATACACATTTTGAAGTTGGGATTCTGTACTTGTGTGACCCTGTTCAGCAGCTAACGGTGGTGTCGGTCGCCTCGCAGCCTCCAAGCTCCCCACAGAAAACAGTTGGTGTTCCTCTAAACGTAGCCCTGGGACAGCAGATTCTCACAGTGCAGCATTCAACGCCCTCTTCCCCGGGAAAGGCTGTATCTAACAGTACAACTGCTCAGGTACACACTGATTTGAGTCCCGTTCTGAGAGCCTGTTGATTGTGATTTGCAGCATTGCATAGCTTCAGGCACGAGTGATTGTCTCCTTTCTTTCTTTCTTTCTTTCTTTCTTTCTTTCTTTCTTTCTTTCTTTCTTTCTTTCTTTCTTTCTTTCTTTCTTTCTTTCTTTCTTGCTTTCTTGCTTTCTTTCTTTCTTTCCTTCCTTTCTTTCTTTCTTTTCTTTCTTTCTTTCTTTCTTTCTTTCTTTCTTTCTTGCTTGCTTTCTTTCTTTCTTGCTTTCTTTCCTTCCTTCCTTTCTTTCTTTCTTTCTTTCTTTCTTTCTTTCTTTCTTTCTTTCTTTCTTTCTTTCTTTCTTTCTTTCTTTCTTTCTTTCTTTCTTTCTTTCTTTCTTTCCTTTCTTGCTTGCTTGCTTGCTTGCTTGCTTGCTTGCTTGCTTGCTTGCTTGCTTGCTTGCTTGCTTTCTTTCTTGCTTGCTTGCTTGCTTGCTTGCTTGCTTGCTTGCTTGCTTGCTTGCTTGCTTGCTTGCTTGCTTTCATGCTTTCTTTCCTTCCTGTACAGGTATAGTATAGGGGGTACCTTGCTCAATAGTAGTAACTGTGAGAGGAACCTCGGAGTCCTAGTGGACAATCACTTAAATATGAGCCAGCCGTGTGCTGCAGCTGCCAAAAAGGCCAACACAGTGCTGGGCTGCATTAACAGAGGGATAGAATCAAGATCACACGAAGTGTTAATACCACTTTACAATGCCTTGGTAAGGCCACACTTGGAATCCTGCATCCAGTTTTGGTCACCACGATGTAAAAAAGATGTTGAGACTCTAGAAAGAGTACAGAGAAGAGCAACAAAGATGATTAGGGGACTGGAGGCTAAAACATATAAGGAACGGTTGCTGGAATTGGGTATGTCTAGTTTAACGAAGA